TTTCATCAGATTTCCACGTTATTATCTTTAATGTTGTGCACCATAACTTGACCAGAATGTGTCATTTTATAATTCCCCGAATCAGGTCTGTCAATGTCACTCCGAATTTTCGATTTTCATATTTCACTGAACCAGATATCATTAAGCTCAAAATTATAGCGTTCACATTTCTTACCGAAACCAGAAAATTTAAGCATTGGTACTTATCCATAGTTCTAACCACAGAAGCGAGAACGGTGGTTAGAATAGGTTTTTATTCAGATCGCGAAAAAGAACAGTCAGAGTATGAGATTCACTTTTCAAATGCACAAAGGTTTGAACATTCAACTTGTGATAATATAAAATACAATGTTTAATCAAAATAGGGAAGTAAACGAATGATTGTGCCGTATTGTTTCATAGTTGTCTGAATGTTATCGTCCAATTCTTAACAGCTCGGCCTAAATTCTTGTAGGATTGAGGCCCTTGCTTTGCCAATCCTCGCCTTTACATATGCATCAGATTCTCCTTGTTCACCGATGATGCAGTCCAGGTACGTGAAAGTTTCCCCCTTCTCCAGAGTTCCTCCATCAAGTGTGATGGAGTTGGTGTTTTCCGTGTTGTATTTGAGGATCCTGCTTTTTTCTTTGTGTATGTTGAGACCTACTGCTGCAGAGGCTGATGCTACACTGGCTGTCTTCATGTGCATTCGTTAGTGTGCATGAGATAGAGGGGCCAGGTCATCTGAGAAGTCCAAATCGTCTAGTTGATTGAGAGCTTTCCATTGTATTCCTTGCTTCCTGTCAGATGTTGAGGTCTTCATAATCCATTCAATCACCGGAAGAAAGAGAAAGAGGGAGAGTAGGCAGCTTTGTCTGACTCAGGTCCTCATTCGGAATGTGTCTGTCAGCTCTCCTCCATGCACGACTTTGCCTTGTAGTCCGTCGTATAAATTCCGTATGATATTGGCGATTTTCTGAGGTACTCCTTAATGCTGAAGGAGTTTCCATAATGTTCTCCTATCCACACTATCGAATACTCTCTCACTGTCAAGGAAGGTGATGTATGGTGACGAGTTCCATCCAATTGATTGTTCAGTGATGATCCGTAGTGTCGTGATTTGGTCTGTGCACGACCGGTACTTATGGAATCTGACCTGTTGATCTCGAAGTTGGACGTCTACTGAGTCTTTCAACTGGTTCAACAACACTGTTGAAAATCTTTGCGGGTACTGACAGTAGTGTGATGCCTCTATAGTACTTACATTTGCTCAGATCTCCTTTCCTTGGTATCTTGATGAGGTGTCCTTCTTTCCAGTCCATCGGCACTTGTTCTTCCTTCCAAATCTTCCTGAATAGAGGGTGAAGCATACTCTCAGTTACTTCTAAATCAGGCTTCAGTGCTTCGTCTGGTATACTATCAGGTCCTGCTGCTTTCCCACTCTTGATTTGTCTGATGGCCATCTTGATTTCTTCGATCGTTGGTGTAGTGACGTCCATAGGAATTCCTTGTGTGTTGCTTCGATATCCGGTAGATTCAATGGAGCTGATCTATTCAGGAGTTCCTCAAAGTGTTCCATCCATCTGCTACTCTTCTCTCCAATCTCAGTGATTGGCTTGCCTTCTTTGTCCTTCACCGGTCTCTCTGTTTTACTATATTTCCCTGCCAGTTTCTTCGTCGTCTCATTTAGTTGTCTCACATTTCCTTCTATTGCAGCTTTTCCGCTGTCTCCCATCAGGATTGTCAGGTCCTTCCCTGAGTATTTCGCTATGATCGATTGCAGACTCTTGTAGAACTGATCTTTATCGTCGTCTTTGCTATTTTTGGTGGGTGCGTAACATTGAATAAAATTCATTGTGATTCCCTCCTTGTTTGTTTTGAAGTATACTTTGATGATCCTGGATCCATGAGATTCCCATCCTATAAGTGTATTTGTGTATGTTTGGACAGCACCAGAGCAACTCCCTGAGTGTGTGGAGAATTTCCGTCTTTGTGATCGGAGTACAGTGGCATCTCTCCCGTACCTAACCTTTACTGTTCAACTTGGGTCCAATGGATTTTGCTGATTCCGAGCACTGTCAAGTTGTATCTCCTCATTTTCGTAGCTACTTGATTAGTCGTCCTGGTCTTCCACATTGTCTGTACAGTTCATGTATCTGGTTGTTAGAAGGGGCGTTGGCTTCATAACTTCCGAAGAATCTCGGCTTCCTTCGTTAGGCGTCATATTTCTTCTGAATGAAGACCCTTGAATTCGGTGAGCAGAGTTTGAATCGTTTAAATTTTCCTTTCTAGTTAGCGTTTTTTTAGCAGTGTTGTTCTCTAAGGGATGGGGTTGCTGACCCTACATCCAACCTTCCTTCTTCACGCTGTCTTGGAACCGGTAGTAACCCTAGAATAGCTATAGACGGAGTTTCACTCAGATTAGAATTCATTATATGTGAGATAGTATACATTTTCTGTATTTTCAACAATTTATTTTTTATGACTATGTGTGATCATTGTAGTTCCGAATAAACTGAAACTAAACGTGATAACTGGCGTTTCATTAATATGACACAGGGTTTGTATTGACCAGCCAGTCTCGATAAGAACACGATTGGAAGTTGTATCTCCTCATTTTCGTAGCTACTTGATTAGTCGTCCTGGTCATCCACATTGTCTGTACAGTCCATGTTGTTAGAAAGTGTATCAGCCTCGTTACTTCTGAAAATATCGCTTTTATCATTCGGTATTATAAATCTTGGTTCAAGAAGAAGGGCAGAGTTTAAGTGGTTTAACTTATTTGAACTGGCTAGCTTTTTTTTAAGCAATGTTGCTTTCTAAGGGATGGGGTTTCTGACTTTATACCTTATTCTCCTCCTTTATATAGGTTTGGAACTGGCAGTAACTTTTACGGAGTCGCAGGCGGAGTTTCCAGGCATTTGGCAAGACTATTTTCATCGGTTTTCTACCAGTGTGTCATCCAAAAGTTTGTTTGAAAACGTTGTGCAGTTTGGGTAGAAGTCGTTAGGATTTCAATATTCGATCTTGTTTTAACTATCTATATGAAAGGTCAAATATTAAAGGTTGTTTTTCGGATTATTAGTTGTTTTTTCGTAGTTACTGTCGTCATTATTGAGTTGAATATGAATAATCTTCAAAGGAATAAAATTATCCTTCTCCCACTTTTTGGAATCAATACCAAAATTTCAAAATTACCGGTTATTTGATATTTAACCTTTACTCTTGCGCAAAACATCGACTGAAACAAATTTCGCATATTTAGAACTGTCTAGTTATTATTAATAAGCTGTTCTGTTTACCACGGTGAGGTCAAACAGAGTAATTGGCATCCCAGCTCAACTTATGGAGCAACTGTTAACAATCTAACCAACCTGTACACTACAAAACGGAAAAATTGAATAGTGTTTTTTGTGATGAGTTTGCGATTTAACTGCATCAAAAGGCTACTGAAATATGGGAACATTTCGAATTTATGCAACTAATAAATTAACGGTGATTGAAATATGGACTGGTCGCCCCTTGTGTAATTCCGTCGATCTAGACGTTACATGAAATACAGGCTGAATGCAGTCGCGTTTATATATATATATATATATATATATATATTACTGTCGCACAGACTGCTAGGCACTTCCGATCCCTTCACTAAGATGTAAACTCTTCATATATAAATTTATATACAATTGTAGATATATCTACAATTGTATATAAATAGGTATAAACGATGTAAAACTTTGCCTTTATCGTGTGTATTTAATCATGTCAGCAAGAGCACTGAACTGAGTAAATTACTTTTAAAATGCCTGTCATTGTCATTGGCTTGTAAAAATAAATGCGTCTTTACATGACAACCGTTACTTCCTATTTGATTATTTGTTCAATCCAGTCCATAGTGCGATTAATATCAGACTCACGCGATGATTATCTCTATAAACTTGCTATTGGGATATCAAATTTGTAGTTCTCTCCGCTAACGGAAAAGGTATTGGGGCGTTAGACGCCTATCTTCAAGAAAATAGGAATGAATTTGTCGGCCCATTTATTTATGTGATTGCTTAATGGTGATACGCCCAGTGAAAGATAATCAGAAAACGTCTATGTGATATATTTTATTGGATACCATGATGGTTGAGGTTGCTAGCTGCTTTACTATCAAATGGAGTCTTCAGAAGTGCAGATTTTACAATAACACGAATTAAAAATGTATTTTCGTTATTCATAATTATTAGAAACATAAATATCTCGATTTTCATCCTCCATTATCGCTGAAAAACTTAATTTACGGATGATGTTCAATTTCTAGTCTTTTGTCATTTTTCCCTTTGGTTTGCATAGCATTGATTAGAGTGATTTTGTTGGTTTGTGTGCTATATCAATTCCAAAAGGCTTCAACAATCTCGTTGTAATTTCTGTACGTCTTATATATGGTAGTAGTCATTCTTTCGGAAGATAGTCTTTAAATATCTTTCTTCACACTTGCAGCGTGGAAAAATGAAGAAATGACAAAAGAATAAAAACCGAACATCATACACAAATTAAGTTGTTCCAACTTCGAAAAACACTACATCGGACAAAGCAGATGCTCTCTTCATCTTCGCCTGCACAAACATCAATTAGCTGTCAGATGCCATGATATGTGCTTGCTTATATCAATACATATGGACAATTGTGGACACATTCGACTGGGAAATGTTGAGATCTTGAGTAGAGGCAATTTAAAAAACACCAGAGAATTTTTTAGAAGCTTGGTACTCAGGTCAATAACCAAACACATTGAAATAGATTCAATTTACCAGCTAATCAGAAAAATTATGGACAAATATAAGATCAAGAACCAAATCAATGGGAGATACAATCAAAATAAAGAAGTGAACAATGACTGGGTAAAGGTCAATAATAACCAATCAAGATCGAGGTCTTCAGGACAAGCTGTGAATCATATGTGAAGAAATTCGAACACTTTTCTTGTACTTGAAGTTTGTGCTGATGATGTCGTTCAGAATAACACTGAAAGCTCCACGACCAAACCATCCAGCTCAGAAGACAAGACCCCACTAAAGTCATCCATCGTACGTCTTATTTTATATAGCTATGTCCTTAGCTGGAGGCATCAGTAATCAACTAGTTCTATTCTTGGAAGGTTGTTAATCGGAAGCCTACTTTGTCCCATCCAGAACCATGTAAACTATTCTGAATAAGTTTTTGGGTTAAAGTGGTGGGGTTTAGTTATTCAAACATCTACTACTCTGCAATTCGGCTTTACAATTTCATCTCGCTGTGCTAATGAAGTATGGTAACTAGAACGATCGTATACACGTACCAGGTTCTATATGGTGTTTGACTGACTGATTTTCATCTAGTTTGTGAACTGGATTTACGTAGCAAACACAAACCACTGGGTATTATCTTCTAACACCACACAAAAAATAGCTCACGCATTCTCCAAGTTGTTATTATTAGCTAAAATTAATTACGGCCGTTAACGGCTGATTTTGTCATATAAATAATTTGCACGTCCGTTCACTCACAACGTCATAAGTTGAACCACACTAGTAAAAGTCAACGACAGTCTAGCTTTTTAGACCAAAACACGGTACGTCGAGCTAAACAGCCATTTCATAGCTAGATTGATAAACCACATCTCGACGGTAAACTTTTAACTGTTTTTAAGCGCAAACTATTCCTTTTCTGGCCAATTGCCTTATTATTTACGGTTTTGTTATCCTGTTACAGAAAATGAACAAATTTTCGGTCTTATATGATCATGTTTGTCAACGTGCTTCACGATCCCTTATGGAAGCACTTAAACCATTTGACGGTATCGATACAGTTGCTACTCATGGTGGATATGATCCAGTATATTTAGAGGAAGTGGGGCGTCCTGTTGTCCCGCCAATAACTTTGTCATCTACTTTTCAACAGCTTTCTCCTGGTATTGCCAAAGTAATAACGTTTTGTTCTGTATAAACTGTTTTAAGTATGATTATTCTAGGTCTGGGAATTTCTCTCGGGAGTGTTTGGAAAAGTGCTTAGCATCTCTGGAAGACGGCCATGACTGCTGTGTCTTTAGTTCTGGTCTCGCAGCCTTAGGAACTCTCATTCAGATCTTATCAAGTAATGACCACATCGTTGCGTTCGATGATCTATACGGAGGTTTGTTATTTTAACAATATGATTTTTACTAGCGTGTCTTGAAAGTCAAAAATAATCTTTCATATAGTTGGACAATTCATACTTATACTGTTACCACTGTGAAATGTCGGCTACTTTAGACCGCTAAAGGAGAGTTCGTTTACTAATTTGCTTAACTGTAATGACTCTTGAAACAATTTAAGTTTTTCAAGCTAATGATAAATGCAAAATAAATTGGTGGATTCTATATTAGAAACACTTAAGACATCTTTATAGCGAATTACGTAATTTAATAACTTTATACTGCTTCGTTTTAGCATAGGCCGCCAACCAGCATTCTCCAACCCACCCTGTCCTGGGCCTTCTTTTCTAATTCTATCCAGTTCTTGTTCATTCTTCTCATGTCTGTCTCTATTTCTCGGCGTAATGTGTTCTTTGGTCTTCCTCTTCTCCGTTGACCTTCAGGATTCCATGTGAGGGCTTGTCTTGTGACGCAATCGGGTGATTTCCTCAAAGTGTGTCCCATCCACTTCCAGCACTTCCTCCTGATTTCTTCCTCCGCTGGGTGGAATCTGATTTGTTGTCTCCCACAGTAACTTGTTGCTGATAGTGTCTGGCCATCGGATCCGAAGTATCTTGCGTAGACAACTGTTAATAAACACTTGTATCTTCTGGATAATGGCTTTCGTAGTTCTCCACGTCTCCGCCCTATACAATAGAACTGTCTTGACATTTGTATTGAAAATTCTAACCTTGGTGTTGGTTGACAATTGTTTTGAGTCCCAGATGTTCTTCAGTTGTATGTATGCTGCTCTTGCTTTGCCGATCCTCGCCCTCACATCTGCATCTGATCCACCGTGTTCATCAATGATGCTGCCCAGATATGTAAAGGTTTCCACATCCTCCAAAGCTTCTCCGTCAAGTGTAATTTGATTGGTGCATATTGCGTTGTATCGGAGAGTTTTGCTTTTCCCTTTGTTTATATTGAGACCTACTGCTGTTGAGGCTGCTGCTACACTGGTCGTTTTCTCCTGCATTTGTTGTTGCGTTTGTGATAGAAGAGCCAGATCATCCGCGAAGTCTAGATCGTCAAGCTGCATCCTGCCTGTCGACTGTATCCCGTGCTTTCCTCCAGATGTTGACGTCTTCATGATACGGTCGATCACCAGGAGAAAGAGAAACGGTGAGAGTAAGCAACCTTGCCTTACACCAGTCTTTACTTGAAACGAGTCGGTGAGTTGTCCTCCGTGGACGATTTGGCAGTTTAGTCCATCATAGGAGTTCCGTATGATATTGACTATCTTCTCAGGCACGCCGTAGTGTTGAAGAAGCCTTCATAGTATCGTCCTGTCCACGCTATCAAATGCCTTCTCGTAGTCGATGAAGTTGATGTAGAGTGATGAATTTCATTCGATTGATTGTTCCACAATGATACGTAGAGTTGCGATTTGATCTGTGCACGATCTATCCTTACGAAATCCAGCCTGTTGATCTCGAAGTTGGGCGTCCACTGAATCCTTCATCCTGTTTAACAATACCCTGTTGAAGACTTTCCCTGGTATTGAGAGAAGAGTGATGCCCCTGTAGTTGTCGCACTGGCTAAGATCACCTTTCTTTGGTATCTTGATCGGAAATCCCTTTTTCCAGTCTGTTGGAACTTGTTCTTCGTCCCAAATCTTACTGAAGAGGATGTGGAGTATCTTGGCAGTCGCTGCTACATTTGCTGTCAGTGCCTCTGCCGGGATGTTGTCTGGTCCCGCTGCTTTGCCGCTCTTGATTTGTCTAATGGCCATGCTGATCTCTTCAATTGTTGGTGGGCCAACATCAATTGGGAGGTCTGTGGGTGCTGCTTCGATGTTGGGTGGGTTCAGTGGAGCTGGTCGATTCAAGAGTTCCTTGAAGTGTTCTACCCACCTGTTTCGTTGTTCTTCAATATCGTTGATTACTTTGCCTTCCTTGTTTTTCACTGGTCTTTCTGGTTTACGGTGATTTCCAGCAAGTTTCTTTGTTGCGTCATACAGTTGTCTCATATTTCCTCTACTTGCAGCCTTTTCCGCTGTCATCGCTAAATCTTCCACATATTTACGTTTGTCGGTTCTGATGCTCCTCTTCACTTGCTTGTTTGCCTCTGTGTATTCGGCTTGTGCCTTGGCTTTTTCTGCTCTTGTTCGGCTGATATTGATTGCTGCCTTCTTGTTCCTCCTTGCTTCAATTTTATCCAGTGTACCGACAGTGATCCATTCCTTGTGATGGTGTTTCTTTTGGCCCAGAACCTCCTGACATGTTGAAACGATTGCCTCCTTGATACCTTTCCAGTTGCTCTCCATGGTAGTTCCCTCTCCATTGACTAGATCATGAAAGGCCTGGAACCTGTTGCTGAGGGCTATGTTGAATTTGTTGAGTTTGTCAGCATCTCGAAGAAAGGCCGTATTAAATTTTGTGATGTTGTCCGCACCGTTGTCCAGTGCTTCTTGAGTTTTAGTTTGATCTTGGCGACCAGCAAATGATGATCGGATGCTATATCAGCTCCTCTTCTGGTTCTCACATCCTCCATCGTCCTCCTGAACTTTTTGTTGATGCAGATATGGTCGATTTGATTCTGTGTAGTGTGATCCGGTGAAGTCCAAGTGGCTTTGTGTATGTTTTTGTGTGAGAATACGGTGCCACCTATGACCAGTTTATTGAAGGCACATAGGTTTGCAAATCTCACCATTTTCGTTTCTTTCTCCCAGTCCATGTTGTCCCATGACGTCTTCGTATCCAGTGTTGTCCTTTCCAACCTTGGCATTGAGATCTCCAATCAGAATGGTCAGGTCTTTGGTTTGGCACTTCTGGAAGATCGACTGCAGCCTATCGTAGAATTGGTCTTTAGCGTCTTCATCGTAGTCGTTGGTCGGCGCATAGCATTGAATGACGTTCATTGTAATGCCCTCTCTCTTTGTTTTGAAGGAGGCTTTGATGATCCTTGGTCCATGAGATTCCCATCCTATAAGTGCATTTTGTGCTTTTCTGGACAGCACCAATGCCACTCCTTGTGTATGTGGGGCATTTTCTTCTTCATGACCGGAGTATAACAGAAGTTCTCCTGAAGATAGTCGTTGTTGTCCAACCTGCGTCCAATGCGTTTCACTGATTCCAAGCACCTCCAGGTTGTATTTTCTCATTTCTGCAGCAATTTGGAAAACTCTTCCGGTCTCCCGCATTGTTCGGACATTCCATGTACCTATAAAGAGTGTTGCTCTGGTTGTAAGAAGGTGCATCGGCCTCATGACTTCCGAATGAACTCGGCTTTCATCATGAGACGTCATAATTATTCCTTCTACTCCCAGGGCAGAGTTTAAATGGTTTGAATGGTTTTTTCTGGTTAGCGTTTTTTTAGCGAGTTGATTTTCTACGGGATGGGGTCGCTAACCCCATGCCCAACCCTCCTCCTTTACCCGGGCTTGGAACCGGCAGTAACCTCCAGAGGAGCTACAGGCGGAGTTCAGTTCACTAAGTAAGATTTGTCAATATTTGTCGCCCCATTTATTGCTATCTTAAGATTAAAATAACCGGTATTCAAACTCCTTAGGCATTATGGGCTGGAAACATAAGGGGAGCCATGTCAATTTCAGAGGCATAATCGTGGTGAATTAGACGTTAACATTTTAACTACCATTGAACGTACCAACTATTGGCTATTTCATCATAATATTAGCAAATATAATATGAAATCTTGTTTACTTATAATTTTATTATCTAGATCACTAAAATTACTGATTCATTCGTAATCTTGATGTTTAAAACATTTTTGGAAGATCCCATTAATTTCTTTCTCAATCGTTACTTGTATGAATATAAAAATTAATTTTTGTTTTCTATATCCGAATTTGGGGATTCATCAGGTCTTTTGTACGTTTTATAATCCACAAATTCTTTACTCTATTCCCTTAAAATGAAACCACATCACGGTATATGATAATATCAGTTCTCTGATACTGGATAGAGTGATAAATAAAATCAGAGACGCGTTGATAAGATGTGATTCAAAGAAACAATATCTTGTGGTGAAAGATGGCTTTCGTAGCAAGTTCTTCACCTGACTCTATCGACTGCAGTTCAACTAAATAAAGATAAAAAACTGCCAGACACTTAAAACATACGAGGATGCTAACGTATGTCCATTGACAACGTTTTAGTTATGATAAGAATTTGTTTTAGACAACCAATAACACTATACAAGTGCTAGCAACAGATATACGATTATCTTCATTTAGGGATTTTGTAGTATCAGAAGAGTAATATCAGACTTTTTGTAGCACGCTCTTTAACTTTTCCCATCCTTTGGTTTGGTCATATGCATAGTCTCCTTTCAGCTGTAGAGGAATTTAAACTAGTATGACTCCCCAATATTACCCCTGTACACTATGGAGCTGTGCAAATTTTCAGGCTACACTGAGATTTGATGGAGTTATAACACACACTTCTTTAGACTTTGGAACATTTTAACATACGACAGTAGTTACGTTTTCTGACTAATGATGGTATTTGATGCCGTTGGTCATGTAATCCTGTTACCCGTGAAATCGATAGTGTTTGGGGGCCCTGAAAATGTTTGATTGTTTTACACATCTTAGATACAAAATCGTGTTTAGTTTGCTAGTAGGAGGTTGTGTGATTTAGTAATTTGGATGTTTGTATGTGTCTAGTAAGGGTCGCTTCCCCTGATAGGTCAGTGCTCACAACTCTTTTAGTTGAAGTTTACTAGTTTACGTCATCTGTGGCACAAATAAGATATCTTTGAAACGTGATCTTTAAAACAAAAGACTTGTTAAGATAATCAATAATGTCGTTGAAATAAAACGAGGGCAACATTTGCTCAATATTGATATTTGACAGTGAATGCTTATTAACGGGAATGAGTCAACTTTATAAAGCTTCAATGTTTAAAGTTGTTAAGAATTCTCTTATATATGCAGCCAATCGCCCTCCGAGTTTGATATGCTGCTTGGACAATAGTGTTTTAGAAGAAAAATATTTTCAGCCGGATTAAAACTTGATATCATCCCTCAGACCCTTAGTCTGAGGTATACGGAGAGATATATGACTATATATCGATATATGGAAGACAACTATAATTATTGGTTAGTAAATCTGGATTGAGATCTTCAATTTAATGAAATATTGTGTTATTTGATGTTTCCCTAAATTTTATGTTCTAAGATAAGAATGTTCTTTATATTTGAACAGGAAATGGGCGATATCTGCGTCAACTAGCTTCGAAATCTGGGATAACATCTACTTTCGTTGACATGCGTGATCTGAAATTGTTTCAACAGGCGTTACAGAAAAACACTCGTTTAGTCCTCATAGAATCTCCATCAAATCCTTTAATGCGTCTAGTCGATATAAATGCTGTTGCATCTATTACTCATGAGTTTAACAAAGAAATTATTGTTGTTGTTGATAATACTTTCATGAGTTCTTATTTTCAAGTAAGCAAAATTATTGCGTTAATCATCTTATTGAGATAATCCTAAATATATATCCCCAAACTATTTCTTCGTACAAATTTTGAACCTGAGTTATTTGAAAATTTTATGTGACAATAGGTTTGTGTTCATATAAAATGAGGGTTCACTCCTCTCTTGTAGTCACATTTGTCTAAACCCAAGATTCCTACACTTTTACCGGGCACTGCATTCAGTCTACTGAAGTATTTCATTGGCAATCAATGTTTAGATATTTCTTAGACTATAATGCATGTTTGTTTGATGTAGCACTCTGTAAAATAGTATTAGTCACCATATATTCCAACTTTTCTTTATATTATTATGTCTGACGAAATCTCTGCACGAATTAAGAAATATTATCTGTCCTTTGTTAGCTTGTGTCTCTCGTGGCATAGGCGAAATTTTCTTCCTCACACATAGTTGCAAGTTTATTGCACAGAGTTCACTTTGTATTGCTGTATGGATTTGAAACATGGGCCGTAAAAGTAGAGTATATTGGTAGAATGTGTATTAAGGATAAACTTCCGCTTTGGGCCACATTAATGTACAGCTATAAATCTACTTGCTCATGTGGGGAAAGTTACATTGGCTTCGCAAAGCGACCACTTTCTAAACTTATCTCAGGACACTACCCAGCATAGCTTTTAAAAGGAGAATGCAAAACAATTACTAGTTCAATACAGGAGCATTTAATCAACTTTGAACACATCTCTCCGAAAGAGTTTTCTCTTAAAATAATCTACATATTCAAAAGAATTGGATAGAGGCGAGGTCGGATCAAAAACTTATACGGTGCTGAGGCATTGGCAATTCACCAACTCGAGCTCGAACTCTGTGTGCAAAACGATACGTCAAACCTTTGATTCTTCCTTGGCCTTAATCTCCCTTTTGTAGTGAATCTTGCTTTTTTGCTATTTTTGATTTTTTAAATTAGTGTTTTGTAATTTTAAACCGAAATCAGTTATTATTATCCTTAAATAATTTTTCATGATTGTTATTCAGTTCTTATTATTATGACCTTTTTGTTTTTCGTTCTTCGTCATATCTGTCAAGTGGACTCGTAAATTATTCTTCTTTTACCCCTTGATTATTGCGTAACGTCATTTGATATTAAGAGTCTCGAATCAATTTATGAAGCTATCTTTCCTATCGTTCTATAGACATATATTTACTATACAGCTATAAATACGAATGTACAGCTTAAGTAAATGATTTCGTCGAAAATATTTTCGTCTCTAACCTTTTGCTACAATTAATGTGAGGAGCATGACCAAGTGGTCTATATTTATTAATATTGCTCTAATCAACAGTCAACGCCTTCATAAACTTATGCTATGCCCTTAGCTTTCTTTCAATGTGCTTCTACATTGGTATACATCGCTTCAAAGTAGGTGGTGGTTAGGCATAAGTAACATACATCCCAACCACCTTGGTCGCAATGTTTAATTGATCTAATTTCGGTTTCACTTACTACTTATTTTGTTTATTTCAACTAATTTCGGTAATATGATAACTTAAACCAATATATATATATATATATATATATATATATATATATATATATATATATATATATATATATATATATATATATATGTCTAGCTGTACGTTGATTACAATTGGCTGTATGTGTTACAATTTATTCTCAAAATATTCATGGATTCGGATGAAACTTTGATACCAAATTTAATAAATTTTCAAAGTTCAGTGAATGATGTAAATTCTGGGGGTTTTGGCACCATATAAGCGTTGAATTTCGTTGTTAGATGAGATTCCATTATATCGACTGCTTTATACTCAATAAAGTGTATAAATAATCAAGTAAAAGATCTGAGCTGTAAATAAAACATTTTCAGTGAATATAGTAGGCTCATTAAAAGTCATTATTATTGCCTACCTGCCATTCAGGAATCATCTAAACTTGCCTTGGAACATATAAAAACAGTAACAGTAGTTGTAACAACAACTTGAATACTGGAATTCGAGTTCACTTTTTTCCACTGAATACAATTACAATCACAATGAGTTGGGACTAAGTAGCGGTCCTCAAAAACAAGTATGATATAATGAGGGAAGAATTGTCAAGTTGATATTTATAAGGAGTAATACTCATACTAAGTATCTACAAACACTTCAATCAATGAATGAGTGTATTATAAAACCCAAATTTCAACATTGTGTGACCAATTAGATATGATTGTGGGTAAATAATTCATACCTAATATCATAAAATGAATGATACGGTTTTATACATTGTTTTATTATGCAAATATCGGACTTGGATATGTCTTATGATTGGGATATTTAATTCCTGCAAATTATATATATTTTTTCTTGTTTCTAACTTCACTTCGGTCAAATGTAGGGTACTATTAACTTACTTTTTTTGGTGTACAAGATCATAGAAACCAAACGAGTAGAAGAATGTAAGTTGTCCATGGAACACTATTATACTCCGACTTTTATTAAGCGATTGCTGCTACATTCAATCATTAACATTCTTTATGGGAATGTAACCACAACAGATGATGAGCTTTTGACTATGTTAAATAATAAATTGCTAGATCCTTAGTAATTGTTAATAGGAAATTATTAATAAAATCACTACGAATGTTTCCCCTGTATATTGGAAATTGTGTAAATTGAAACTTGTAATAATACACTCGTTATCATAATTAAATCACAAAAGTAGTCCGTGATATGACTATGAAACTGTCCGTCTCGCAAATTATTGTTTATTTGAACTTAAAACTATTCGTAAGATGCATCATATTTGGTCATACCCCAATTATTTTGTATATATATATACATATAGCAAAATGTTCCTATAGTTTTAAATCAGTGTTCATAAACTGAAAATATATTTCCGTTTTCAATGGTCTTGAATGTTAACCTTAAACTGAACCTTCACTTTTAAGTAAACACTGAAAATATTTTAATTTCTCGCGTGATTTTATAACTAATGAAAGTATAAATACAGTTTGGAGTAAACACTCATTGTAAGTTTAGAAAGTATAGTTTTAGTCATGATAAAGTAAATAATCACTAATATGATGAACATACAAGTATAGAATTGGTATCCTACTCGTTAAACAAGTTAGTAGCTATATAAAATCAGTAGCTTAGTGAACAATTAGTCATGGTTTTAAGCTGTAATTGTCGAGTCTCACTGTGGATATGAATACTGGAATCCCGGGACATCCAGTTGATTAAATTCCAAATAGAATGAAATGTGCATTTTAGGTCCTACTGCACACTTTTACTATTCGAATACATGATTAGGTGATATAAACACTTATATTATAACCACAAACAATCGATTTTCTACTGTTTCATAACTTTTTTAGAATAAGCTAGCCAATTATTTCGATCATTTACTTTTTATTCAGCGTCCACTTGATCACGGAGCAGATGTGGTCTTACACTCTCTCACAAAGTATATGAATGGTAAGCTCCTTTTATATTACAGCAACTAGTCAAAATAACATAATTTGTGTTTACGTCGCATAATATCTTCAATGGTGAAGTATTACATAAAATCTCTAAGTAGACAGCACTTTTCATAATTTTGGGGATTTGTTTGAAACCATAAAGTCGTCTTATTATGATTACTTAATACCCATTTATTTATTTAAAACAGTTTTCGTCATCATCAGCTAACACTAATATAAAGAACTCATTGCTGAATTATTGGTAACGGTTCTTTGATCGATGCTCGATGTAAAGGTGAATACTTTTCTATCCCCATATTGATAGAAATGTTTGAGATTTATATCGTTCTATTATATATTTAGTGACAGTCTACAGTTTAAAACTAACAGTGTAGAATACTCAGTTTAAGTGGCTGTCCGACTTTAATGTATACTGTAGTTAATTATTACTTTTGTCGTTTAGAGTTGATTTTTTTCATGATGTAGTGAAGATTCTGTTTAGCTTATTACTAAATAAAGTCCAGGGAAAAAACGCACGGATGTACACATTTGAAGTTCAGTCGTATATATTAATAAGCAGTAGAAAATTAGTTTGAAATTTGCAAAAGAACCTATCCATATAGCTGCATAGCATTCGTTAAAAACGTTTTCTGTTTCTGTAATAAGGTCATTCTGATTTAGTTATGGGCGCATTGGTTACACGAAATCAATCAGAACTACACAAGCAGCTAAGATTCATTCAGTATGCTGCAGGAGCCGTTCCGTCTCCATTTGACTGTTTTTTATGTCTTAGAGGATTACGCACATTACCAATACGAATGAAAACACACATGCAAAATGGACTTATAGTGTCTATGATGCTTGAGAAACATCCGATGGTTGAAAAGGTTCTACATCCAGGTATGTTATTCTAAATGTTTTTTGTATAATAAAATTCCAGACGAAATTGTATCGATAGAGCTTAACATTTACAAATAATGGTAAAATTGATACCAAACAATTACTTATACCTTAGATGATAATATTATAAACCCAAATATATTTGATTGAATAGAAATGAAGAGAAGAGGACAAAGAAGCTTTTCGACGAAATCACTTACTTAAGCTGTACATTCGTATCTAATAAAAATTATGGGAGATTTAAAACGACTGTTGTAATCAATATGTAAACATAATAACTACTATTACTCGACCACTCACAAAAGAACATAAATCATAATTATTTGATCTTCTGAGAAATCAGAATTTAGTGTTGTTTACGCCAGATTAGTGTAAGGGTGCTGCCTATATGGATCTTAATGATTACATTATCAAATTATCCTCGATATTATCAGATGCTCTGGAGAAATCATTAAAAAAAGACAACTGAAAGAAACGGAACAGATGTTGAGTATACTGTGTACAACTTTAGTACTCGAACGCTTAAACCCTCAAAGTTTCAAGTTAGAAGATAAGACGAATAGGAAAGAATCTTATTTCAAACGGTGTCAAAATATGGTACAAAAACACTCTGGCATTTATAGCTTTCTAGTAAAAACGAAATCATCATTACAATAATTCAATCCGAATGCAGTGACTTCTAGCATTTATCCAATCTAGAAGCTACACGTCGAATTTCCGGAACATTCTCTCAAACGCTGATTTGATGGAATGTCTTCGGCTTTTTCAGAGCTTCCTTGAGTTTCATGTGCGCCTTCCCCACATAAAATCCCAAGGAAGATGAGAGGTGATTTTATTATTAACCGTGGCCTCTATGAACATCTTAGACCATTGGATTCCGCTATGCCAAGGCTATACGGACTCCCAAAATTTCATAAGAAGAACGTTCCCCTACGTCCTATACTTGGTATGAATAGCTCACCGTATCATCTGATTGTTAACTGGTTAGCTGATATTTTAAAACCCGTCAGAAATCACATCAATCAGTATAACCATTTTAATTCACTTGATTTTGTTGACTCAATTAGAAATATCTGTGTAAATGGTTTCATTAGATATCACTTCTCTCTTTACAAATGTTCCACTCAGAGAAACTATCTGTTTTTTATGTGACTATATTGAAAATAATCACTTTGATATTTGCATCCCAAAACATTGTCTAAAAAAGCTCAACATGCAATCCAGATATGATTATCATTTCTATAGACAAACAGATGGAGTTGCATTGAATTCACCATTAGGTCCCCTCTTGACTGATCTGGAAAATACGGTATTTCGATCAATATTTGAGAGATTTTATTCATATAAGAGACATAGGGATGATACTGTCACTTTTTGTGAAGAAGATATAGACCTCAGTAAAAATTTGAATCGTTTCAGTAAGCATAAAAATACTTCAGTTAAATAAATAACAACAAAAAAGTATAAACGTTGTAAGGAAAAGAAACTGGCATAAAAGAGAATATAATGGCGTTAGCTGTTTTGATCTCCAAGGTATGAAGAGCAATTGTATAAGCTTCTTAAAAACACAGTAGGCTGTCATGTTGCGATGAATGCTGATAGCTTCAGTTACTTGTAAAACACATATGCGCAAGCCATGTGGTGAATGCAGTGCATGATTTCAAAGGCTCTGTTTAGAACATGGGTGGTACGAAGCCCCCCCCCCAAAAAAAAAACAGTTTGAAAGGAAATATTTCTCCGCTTACTTTCTTGTCTTTTCCTAAATATATAAATAAGAATTATCGCTTCACTAAAACCATTTAATCACATGAACAATTAATGGTTGATTCATGTCTCACAATCATAAATACATTTGTAAAGAATAAAATGATCAGCGATAACAGGTTGTTTATGTTACATATATTTATTTCAAGTGAGTGCTGTCAATTACTGTTTTTGCTGTCCCTTTACCAATACTGGTCATTAGTGTATATGTCAGGGTTGTTTATATTGTTCGGAGTGTTCATTGACATACGAATAAATTATCATATGAAATAATTACAAATTATTCTTATCATTGCTGCAGTCAAGAAAATGAGCATAGATAAGGTACGCTGTATATTTCCTACAAATTACTTCTATCCGTTCAGGATGTATGATAAGGTCAACATTTTTTAGTTCTACGTCGGTTGTTCATTTAATCTTTTATACGTGTTTAATTGTAAACATAAGTTGATATCTGCTATTTTTTACATTCAGCCGTCTTTATTTTCAACATTTTTTTACTTCATATTCAAGGCTTAGAGTCATTTCCTCAAAAAGATATTATCGCGAAGCAGATGCGTGGTTTTAGTGGTATGATAACTGTTTATCTGAGATGTACTGGGGAACAAACAAAAACGTTTACTACAAATCTGAAGGTAATTGTGTTACCGTATAAGGGTGATAAAAATGATCTCACCAACTAATGAACTTGATAGTGAGAGTCAATACAGGTGATTAAGTGGATAAAATTCATTTTTTAAATATTTATTTGATTATTAGAAGTATTTGAATCATTATACTATAGCAACTCAGATACAATTGAGTTTGTTTACACCTAATCTGGCTAAGCCCTTTAGTTAACTTATTCAATGGACAGTCATTCATACAATAACAACCTATCTATACCATTGTACATTTATTATATGCGCTTGAACATTGCTTACTGCCTACGCATGTATTCATTCCGCTAGCATTATTATTAATCGCTTAGTTGATCCGATGTTTCATAATTTTCCACTTATATATATATATATATATATATATATATATATATATATATATATATATATATATATATGTACATCTTAATCCTGTTTACTGCTTGCTCTCTGCTCTACGCTACACCGTTATTATACGCGCTTACTCACTCATTCGGCTCTTACGCTCGCTCGCCTATTTCACGGCACTGTTCTTTCATGCTTGCTTAACGTGCCTGTAATATTGGATACCTGTGTGTGGTTCAGTAATAAACGCGATCAACCCTTCGTATTCGCCTACTGATTTATACACCGTTAGAACGTTATCGAGTAACGGTTATCAAGACGAATAATATACGAAGTTAGGGATAATATCGACCACCACAATACAATTCATGAATCCCCGAAATAGCTCTATTTAGACCAAATAGAACTTTGTGAACACAAATGAACGTATTGTATTTCTAATTCAAAATCAGGCAGTCATAAAGTACAAAAGAACCATTAGTTCATACAAATACCACAATGTACCATTTGCTGAAGCTAGACAATCTTATAGTACATAACTACAAATAAGATTGTACAGTTTTGTCAAATGATATTGTCAAGGGGAAAGTTCCTTTCACTGAATTATTTTTTTTTCTTCCTTAAACTTGGTCATCTTTTTCCTCCATAAAATGATGACGTTTCTTTTGTAAATACTTTCAACTTTTGCTTGTTTAGTAATAGTCAGAAGTAGATTAGCAGAGAGCCAACTATATTGTCGTTAAAATATTAAACTTTAGAAATTGACTTTTCAAGTAAAATCTAGTCAACAAAATGTCTGTCTAAAAACCGACCTAACTTCCCATACGTTTGACACTGTTTATGTTGTAAAATCTACTTCTTTGAATGTCGATGTCCTACCAGAAGTGCATCGATTCGCCCCCATCGTAATTCATTCACAAAGCAAAAACCCGAACAATAAAAACTGGTAACACTGCTAGTTTAAAGCTCAAAAACTAAATAGAAAATAAGAAGCAAAATCACTTATAAAATTGAAATGAATGTACTTCACATAATTGCGAAAATTCTGAGATTTGCTGGTTTCCGTCTGTAACGTCTTTTAAACTCCCATCCAGGAAACTTCAATTCTAAATCAGATTCGGACTAATTTAGTGAATATTTCATAGATCGATGTCACACTATAGTCCACCACACTATAGCTTTTCGCATATATACTCTAATTTCTGTCTTAAGGAAATGGTCTAATTTAAGTGATATCTTTTAGATATTTGAAGGTTATAGAGGTCTAATGATCGACTCAAGTCCTTTACAAAATTTTTTTCCAGTTGATTGACATTTATAATCCCAACTTTTTGTTTGAAAATTTAAATTGAGCTGAGTTTACTGATGCAAACTTTCTGATTGGGATCTTCGAGATAATTGTAAATTATGGTTAGAGATCTTAGATGTGTTGGCTCAAAATCAGTCGATGTGGCACAGATTTGTCGACCTATTTATTCTAGGTTTTGAGTTTTACCAGTCATGATTTTTGTTCTTCCATCTTGTTTTTCAAGGTGTACTCTTCTCACCATTACAACCATTTCTTCAACTCGTAGCTCATGTAGTTGATTTCCTCCCATTACTCGTTTATGTCGTTACGGCTTCCACATTTCTGTGCCATGTTCTATTTTAACTATGATTTGGCGATTTAGAAGAGGGGTGAAAGGAGATTTGAGCAGAATTACTTATATTCATGTGATATCTATTTAAAACTTATAACATTTAAAAACTGAAATCAAGAAACGAGTTGAAAATTCGCACACAAAAGAATTTGATTGAGAGTTGTGGTGAATGCATATCAGCATAGTATATCAGAGATATAATTATATTTAAAAGACTGAATAAAAAGTGTGAATCTATATCATACGTGACAAAATATTCTACAACAATTATAATAACAAAAAATTAAAAGGCTAGATATGAGTGCTAACGTAAGTAATGAGCAAACACAAATAATAAACAAGAATAAGAGTAGTAGTGTTTATTTAGTTAAGTAATAATACCAAAACAAGTGAAGAGTTATGAAAATAGAGAAAAACGACATATTCAATTTGGGAGTATTAAAGTTTATCAAAACTATACTAAATGAAATGTATAAAATTCTCTACACATATGCTTGTATTTTTCAGCTGTTTACGTTAGCCGAAAGTTTAGGGGGTTATGAGAGCCTTATTGAAATTCCGTAAGTCCTTTGTTGAATCTTGTAAAATTTATGCTTATGTTCAGTTTGTATGCATTTGGTATTTACTTTTAAATAAGTGTTAAGTGAAGGCGTAATAATATGAAAACCATTGGATAATTTTGATTATAATTCCTTGGCAATCTGGTCCAAGCTTTTTCAAACGAAACGTTGGATTTACTACAAATTCATTCTCTGAGATTTTACAAATATTATTCCTATTTAATGTCTTACATAAACTCAGTGCTCAAATACAGTGAAACTATTCGCTCTAATTTAGACGAGAGTTCTTATACATTATTCCTTATTGCAAATATTTTTTTGTTATAAAATTAAGCTGTGTAACAATTTTCAATGTTCCAGAAATTAAACAGAATATAGGAATTGACATTGGTATCCTAATTCAATAGAAAGAGCTGCTTAGACCGTCGATACTTCATTTTATTTAGGAATTCCAGAAAAAAGCTTGATCATCTTCATGCTATTATCGAACACTGTTCGGATCAAAAACCACTTTACAGTGACACTGATAAAATCATTTTATGAAGCAAAGCTCGTGTTTCCTAACACCACATGATTAATTCTTATGTTAGTTGGAGTTCCGCTGTTTTCTTAAGTGAAGCCACTGCTATTGCTGCAGATGGAGGTATTTTCGTAAACTATAACCAGAATGATAATCTTTATCTGCAGCAAAAATAGATCCATTAATAGTACAAATCAAACTAGCAATTGTATTTGGACTGATATTAATTTTAAACCGATGAACCATTATAAAGTGAAAGAGTAAAAATCGTTAGTGGGAATCGTTTGGTTCACTTTTTCGTGGTTTAAAGAAATGTCGCTAATGACTGAGGCATCAGTGATATATTACAAAGCGAATAATTTTCTGGTAACGAGTCACTTCAACAAAGCAGTTAGCATCATTTAAATGGCGCTATCATTACACACTGTAAAGTTGTTTAACAAATTGTTTCCCAATAAACGTGTTATTCCCTACTGTTAGTTCATAATTTTGTACTCTTCTTCAAACAAAACTTTAATCTATTGTATTCAGCTATATTCTGAATATGAATTTAACTAATCAATGCTACAACCAACGTTTTTGAAAGATAAACATTGAAGCCACTTAAAACAAAGTTTTGTTGGTTCAAAATCTCATTCCATCATTTTTTCAATTTATGATGATTGAATACACCAATCATTCGGTAAGCTACAACA